TAATTTCAAGTATATTGTATCGGTCTAATTTAGTATTGGAAGGGTTAAAAAGAATAAACCAGGGCAGAAAAAGATTAATTGTGCTCACAGAAAACTTGCGACCTTGAATCTAACAAAGTTCTGATAAGGAACCTGGTGGTAGGCTACGGACCAGACCCCTACGCCTGCAGAGTGGTCTGCAGCCAGTAAAATCAACAAAAACTATCTCTCCCTGCTTCATAATTAACTGCTGACAACCCCATACCCCCTCTCTGCATTAACTATTTACTCTGTCCTGAAAGAAGGCAAATGGCCTGAGATCCTGTATATTTAGGCTTTTACATTTAAGGATACTTTCTCTTTGTAACAGTTGCTTTCCCTTATAGATTTTTCCTCTTTAAGCCCTAGAGGATCTTAAATCCTCATCCTTTACAACTCTTGATCTCTCGACCAATCCCCCTGTCCCCCAGTCCAGTTGTTTGTCTCCCTTTCCTATTGTGAGTCAGAGGAAGACAATTCCTACAGAGGGGAGTTTCAGAGAAAACCACAGACTGCCGCTGTAGCAGTCCTACCTCCCCGAGGCTGGGGTCCGACCTGTGGAGAAAAATGACTCTTAGTCGGCCTGGAAAGATAGCGGATGAGGATAAGGGTGTGTAGGGAGATTTCTTGCAGACTGAAAGCTCTGGATGGCCTCCTGAAAGAAAAGATCTTTAATCCAGTTACAGATGCTGTCAGAATCAGGATGAGGGAGGAAGGGAAAGACCAGGTTATGTCCTCTATGAGGATCCTAGTAAATAACTGAAAACGACAAGTCAAACAAAACACACAACCATGAAGACAACAGATCGCACAAGACACACAACCAGGGTTAACGGGGTCCATAGACAGTTAATAATAACTTCAGCCTTAGTTCCGCCTCAGGTGACTCATGTTGGACTATGATGTCACAGGCAGGGACAGGGCCTGCAAATTTCTCTGCCCTGCAGAGCTGTAAGCCCTGCCCCTGGAAGTCTCCGTCCACCAAAAGAGATAAGAAAACCATAAATAACAAGTTCTTTGTTCTTTGAAATTTACTACTTTGTTAATTTGCTAAGCAAATAGTTAACTTGAAAAGACTTTTCTCTTGCTTTTCTTTACAAGCAATCTCAGAACCAAGCAATCTTAGAACCTAGCCAGCCTTTGTATTAGCCTTTAAGTCTACCCCAGAACTTCAAAATTTCAATTTAATACAGCAAATTTACAAATCAGAGCAAACTGAAACCCTTACTTATACAAACAGACAGAAATTTTTATTAGCTAAGTGGGCTAATTCCCTCTCTGACGGAGAGAAAAAGACTCTGAGAAAAATAAATCTTGCAGCTGCTAGAGACTTTTGCAGGCCATCACGGGTCCAGCCCAAATGTTTAGCCTGACGAGTCAACAGAAATGCAGAATAAATCAAAGTAGCTTTCGCTTCACACAGACCAGTTAATGAGCAGCCCAGACAGACAAACACCCGTACTCACACTCTCTCAGTAGACTAGCCCAACTGGAGCTGAGCAGATAAACGAAACAATGTCCAACTCCCCAGATGGATGTGGGGGCACTCCTGGCACCCATGCCCCAGAACAGAATTCTCGACCAACGTTTTGGTGAGAACCTACTGGAGGAGTTAAGACTGCATCTAGTCCCCCTTCTTGGTAGCAATTGGCTAGTCCCACACAAACAAACAGCAAAGTGAACTCGTAATTCCTTAATCGAATCTGAATCCACTCACCTCCGGAGTCCCACATTTATATACCAGACAGCCCAAGTTTTTACTTCTACCAGATATTTAACCAGAGTTTAAACAATCCACCTAATTCCTGATTAATTTGCCTGAGGAAGTCCTTGACTTTCAGGGAGGTGATAAAGCTCCCCCTTCCACTCAGTTGGAGTGGGCCTGACTGACTGGGGCCCCTACCTTACCAATTCTGTCCACAGGTCCAGAGGTGTCCATCCACTCTCTCCAGATGCCGGCTGGGTCCTGGGCTGAGGTCCAGGGGCGCCTGGAGTCCCCCAGTTCAATTCTGCTAAATCAGCAGAGCGACGCCTCCTGGAGGCCTGTCTGGCTCCCCCAGTCCTCAAACTCCGTCCACAGCAGAGGCCAAAAGGTCACATGTGGGTTGGTTTTCCCGGAATGTCAGGGAACCAATAATGTTACAGAAAAACCGGAGAAGAACCAAGCAACGCTTAGAGAGATGGAGTTACATTTATTACGCGCGGGCCCAGAGGAAACTGTCTCTCAAATTCTGGGTGAAATCACACAGGAAGTTTCCTGTATTTATACTATCTTACCCTCTTGGTCTCCCCAATATGGGGTTTTTCCGGTTCCCTTTGCAAGTTCTTAAAGGGTCCTATGTGCTGGCACTTTGAGACCTCAAACAAAGGCTTGGCCTGACGCTAGCACTGATAACTTCGTCTGGGGAAGGTTTAATGGCCTCTCTGAAATGGGAGTAGTCTTATTTTGCTTATTATTTAAGCCAGCAAGTGAAAGGGCGAGGGCTACGCCCTCCATCTTGCCCCGAATCCTCCATTTTTGGGCAGCAGCCATGTGCTCCTTGTATAAGGAAGCCCAAGCCTCTGCTAGCCACACCTAGGATTTCTTTAAACTAACCAATGACAATCAAGGGAAGTGCAAGCCATAGACACAACCACATCCTGTGTAACAAGACCCAGACTTGTGCTTGGCCAATCAGCAGGGCCCACGGTCCTCTCTCCTCCCCTTACTCCACCCCCCCTATAAAACCCCTCTCCCCACAAAGCTCGCTCACTCTCTGCCTCTTGCCGCTGCGTCGGCGAGTGTGGTAGACGGGGATCCCGAGCTAGCTCGAATAAAGACTCTTATGCTTTTGCATCGGACTCGGCTGGCTCCCTGGTGGACTCTTGGGGATCCTGAAATCTGGGCATAACACAAGCATACAAAAGCCAGAAATAGCAGGGTTAAAATTTCAAACAGCAGTTTTTATATAAGATGGATGCTTCGTTTTAATGGCTGTTAAAAATCATTTTCAAAACTAAATATAGTCCATCAACAAACTCCCAGACTAGGAACTATTATGTAGACTCATATGGTGTCATCCGTTGCACTGATTCCCAAAACAGACACTGGGTCCTAACACAGGGGAGGCCAGCAGTGGCCCCTGGATTATACAGAAAAGTTCTCCAGCTCCTGGTGTTGAGTCAAGCAGCGTGTTGAGCTCTGGGTTGTATCTTTCCAACCTGCAGAAGAAACAAAGTTCAGACACTCCTACTAGGAGATCCCCATAACAACTCTGTGGGGTATGAATTGTTAACCCCATTTTACAGATTAAGAAAATGAAGCTCAGAATGACTGACTGAAGTACAGGAGGGGCTTGAATCCAATTCTTTTGGTGCCAGGTCTAGTGTTTTTAACCACACCATGCTTCCTCCTGACTCCCCCTAGATTGCCTGGGGCCACACAGTGTCCTCTGCAACTCTGGACTGTCCAGGTGGCTTTAATGTGGAGCTGCTGTCAAAATGCCAGGAAGCACAGCAGGCACCCAGCCTCCCCGCCCTTGGGACCAATGGCAACATTATTATTGGGCCACAGGTGGACGCTTGGGTGCAGGAGGAGGCTAAAGGGGAAAGAGTGGGGTGCTCTCCGTGCCTTACTTTCTATGGGTACAAATGGGAAGTAGGATACCTACTTCACACATTCCGTGGGATTAAATGAGCTCATTCGTATGAAGCCACTGGCAGGCCACCTGCAGCATCCCACCCTTAATCAATGTTGAGACCCTGCTTTCCATTCCCTAAGTGGTCCATGCTCAAGGGTACCTCTGTTCAGTCTTCACCCTAGAAGCAGCGAAGATCACCTGTATTCTAGAATGACTCTCAATTACTTGCTAACTTTAGAAAATCATTCAGACTTGCTAATCCTCCCTTCTCTGATCTCCCCACCCCCACAAACACACTTGGAAGGAAGAGGTGTCCATTGTAGGGTTCACAGCTGGGGAACTAGCCTGCAGATGGCCCTAATTTGAAACTCAATCTCCCCAGTAAGAGTCAAATCCCAACCCATGATATGACCTTGTGTTAGACCCTCACTCTGCTTGGGCCTCAGTTTCTTCACCTCTAAATGAGGATTTGGATTAGAATCTGCCTAAAATCCCTACAGATCTGAGACTCTGTGGATGACGTTTTCACAAGTGCACAACTTCCCAGACATGCTACAGGCACTAAGCCCATTCAGAATCTTACCCCTTCATAGATGGAAGCGTCCCCAGGAAGGCCCAGCGGGGCCCCGTGGGGGTGGAGGTTGAGGCCTTTACCGAACCTTGGAGACAGCGGGGACGAGGCCACGAAGGACAAACCCCTGGCTCAGAAGCACAGGAAAGGCCCTGAATCCAATTTTTTACTTCTAAATCCTCATCTTCCCCAATATTCTCCTCCATTTTCCTAATCTAAAGTGACCTTTACTGAGTAGGGCCTCCGTGGCTGTGGGCATTTGCATTTGCTGTGACTGCACTAGGGTTCGGCTCTGAAGGGAGAGGCACAGACAAGGCCCCACAGCGCCTGAGGGAGGCTGTCTCTGTTCTGGTGGTTGCAGGAGGCCCCACACATGACTTCCTGCTTCGCTGCCCCAAGCCAAGCCCCAGGAACGGTGGTGGGAGGAGGGTCCTTCCTGTCCCTCCTTTCCCACCGGATAGTTCAGCGAGCACTGCGTCCCGGCCTGTCCCCACAGCCTGTCCTGCAGCCCCTCCGAGCGCCGCCCGGCTCACCGCTCGGGGCTGCCCTCTCCCAGCACCTCGGCCAGGCACAGCCTCTTCTTCCCAAGCGTCTGAGCCAGGACAAGACTGACCCGCCAGCATCCTCCCCGCCGGGCAATGACCAAGGGCCCCCAAAAGGAAACGTGGACTTACAGGGGCAGGAGAATTTGTGTCCGACGCAACAGACAAGGTTGCACCCGCCCTGTGCCTGAGCCCAGCCTCAGGAAAGAGGGCACCAGGGGGCCACCAGGGAGCAGAGGCAGCCTCCGCCTGGGTCCCCATCCTGGCTCAGCAGGTTCCGTTCTGCACCCAAATGCCCTTCGGCCTCATTTCATCGTCTCACCCAGTTTTCTCTCCACCCAGGGCCAGAGCTAGGATGCTGAGGGGGGCAGAGATGGGGCCTGAGGCCACTCTGAGGCGGCAGCGGGCTCTCTGGCCCCTGCTCAGCAGGGCCATCCTCCCAGGGCACTTCCAGAGGGAAGGAGGGAACCCCAGCCCTCGGGGCCACACCTGGCCGCTCCTGCCTGGCAGGCGGTTGACATCTTCATAAACTGTCAGCGATTCCTCTGGGCCGGGCTCTGTGTGGAGGGAAGCAAAGAGCAGAGCTGCAGAGTCCTCCTGGCGAACCGGGCCAGGCGCCTGCTCCCGCATCCCACCCTCGTCCCAGGTGGCGAGACCTTGAGGAAGGTTCTAGAGGGGAGGATGGCTCGAGCTCGTCCCAGGAGACTCAGGGAGCTCAGGGCAGCACCCGCCTGACAGTTTCCCCAAACCAGCCCCAGCCAGTGAAGCTGCCGTTAGGGATCAGACGGGGCACATCGGGGCCCAGGAGCGAGACCTGGGAGCAGCCCGGTGCGGGGAGGCGGGCCAGGCAGCGTGTCCTAGGACCCTCCACTTACCTGCCGGCTTCCTCCCCCTTCTCCACACACAGACGCCGGTGAGGGTGCCAAGCAGCGTGAGTTTGAGAACCACGATGATCGTCAAGAGGGGCAGGAGGCCGAGCTCTGAGGGAGACAAGACATGGGCGTGAGGACTCACCTTCTCCCTCCCTGCCCGCCTGCTGCAGTGGCTGCTCCACCCCCACTCGCTGGGGTGGCTGCTCTCACACCCTGTGCATTCAGGTCACAGGTGTCTCCCTGCTCAACTGGAAGGCCGCCCAGTGACACTAAGAGCAGGGGACATAGGGCCAGATGCGAACGCTACGCTCTGTGCCCTTGGCAAGCTCCTTAGCCTCTCTGGGCCTGTTTTCTCACTTTCAGGAAGGAGTCAGTGTATCCACACAGCAAGTTAACAGCATCTGACAGATGCCAAGCTCAGTAACTTTTACACAGGAACATTCCTTTGTTTTAACTCAACAAACATGTCTGCTCTGGGCCAGGCCACCTCCGTCCCGCCTTCTGCGACCTTTGCCCTTCCTGCGTGGACTTCTGCGTCAGGGCCTGTCACACACGCAGCCGCAGCCGCAGACGAGGTAAGTGCCACGAGCGAGCAGCGCAGGGAAAGGAGGGAAGTGCCCCAGATGCTGCTGGCGAGGCTCCTCGCAGACATCACCCCACTTCCCTGAGCAGCAGCTCTGCCAGGTGTTTAGTAGGAGCTTCCCATTGTGCCCGGGAGACTGTCTGCGACTCAGAGAGGTGATGACCTGCCTGAGGTCACAGAGCTTGTGAGTGACCCGGCCTGGCTGACGCCACACGCTGCCTGCCGGAAGCCAATTCCAGCATGACAGCAGGGCTGAATCACCTGGAGTGGCGAGGGCATTTCCCCAAACCTGGAAAGGAAGCATTAAATTGATTGCTTGCTGCCAGGCAGCTCAGGACATCTTAATCTACATGTTATTGCCTCCTACTGGCCAAACACCTGAACAGCCGTAGGCGATTCTTCCAATCTGACAATGGACTCTGTATATGAAACCCTGACCCTTTGAAGTGTATATCTCTGCCTCGCCTCAGGACAATTTGTGTTAATAAAAAACATGGGGTCCTGAGACGAGGAGATCTTAGTTTCTTTAGCTGGGCTCCTCTGACCCCCAAATGCCTTTCAAAATTATGCTTCGTCTCTGGACTCTTGATTAAGTTACACACAGCCCTTCTCCAGATTGCTGAACCTTCTAGATGCCGGAACAAGAGCCCCGGCCCCGCGCTTCAGTTGCTTGTTTCCCTTTGCTGTGAGAGCTTATTTTGTTGTCCCTATTTGGCTATAAGGTCTTTAAAGACAGGGGCTGCAGGTGGTTGCTGCCCATGCTGACACACAGTAGGTCTTCTTTATCTAAGAAAAAGTGGTGCAAAGTGGGCTCCGGGTAACTCTCGGAGAAGCACAGCAATGAGCAGTGCCTCCGCCAGGTGCGCGTCTGATGCTGCCACGACCCAAGGCTGCTCTGGGACCACAGGGCTTAGGGAGGTACCCCCTGAGAGGAGGAAGCAGGTCCCCGACAGCCTCAGAAGAAAACAACTCACAGCCAGGCTGGGCTGTCACTCACCAGACAACGAGGCATTTCCTATGGAAGGAAGATGCTGTCTTCCAGGAGGTTCTTGATGGGGACAAAATTCCTCCCAGCCTCAGACCGGCCTGGCTGCCCAGGACCTGTGTGCCTAGAGGCCAGGACCCTGGGGAAGGGCTCCAGGCCCAGGGGTGTCCTCCTGAGCCTGGCGATGGCCCAGCACCCTCCGCCCTGTCCCAGCCCCAAGCGCTGCACTCACTCTGGGGGGCGCTCCCACAGCCCTGGCCGAGCTGGAGGCTCTGGTGCGCCCAGCTGACGGGGTTGCTGACGTTGCAGGTGTATATGTGCCAGCCGTTGGCATCGATCTGCTCCTCCAGTCGGAAGGGGCTCCTGGGCGTCGGGATCCACTCGCCCCCTCGGTACCAGGTGTAGGTCACATCACCACCTCCGGAGGCCGAGCAGTTCAGGGTCACTCGGCACTTCCCACTGCCCAGGGCCGCCGTCTGCTCCAGCAGCTGCAGCTCGGGCTTCCCCACAGGGTCTGGAAGCAGAGGTTCTGATCAGGAAGGCGCTTCAAGCACCAGCCTGCGCGCCGGGAGGGGCACTCACCCAACACGGACACGTGGAAGCGGTGGGTCCTGACGGTGCTGTTCTCAAGGGTGACCTCCAAGGAGTAGGTGCCGCTGTCGTCGGGCTGAGCGGCCTTGAGGAGGAGCCTTAACTCCTTGATGCTAAAATTGAGCCTATTGTAGTCACTGGCATTCCGATGCGAATGATGCAGCCTAGAATCATTCTTCCAAGTGAACAGCACACGAGGGCTTGGGTTTGAGCACAGCTGTACCTTCCAGTCAAAAGACCTCACCGCTGTCGGGGTGTGGCCGGGCCCTAAGCAGAAAGCCGTGCCCGAAGGTCTCACCACAGGTCCATCCGGAGACAGGGGTGCTGGGCAAGAGGAAGCAGCTGCGAGCAGGAAGGGCGCCAGGCTCAGCATGGGGACAGCTGGACGCGACTTCCCTTGAGCTACGAGGGGCCCGAGTCTGAACCTGAGAGCACACATCCTCATTGGCGCCCCTCCTCCCCGAGCTCGGAAGGCGCCAACAGCCCCTCATGAGAGTGAACATTTCGAGTTCTCACCATGGTGCAGGCAGGTGGTAAACGCTCTACATGTGCTAACCATGGCACTTCACAGTGGCCCTACAAGGTCCTCATCCCCATCTTACTAGCGAGGAAACAGATTTAGAAAGAACCTAAAAGTCACGACCCCTAATTATTCAGTGAGAAAAATGAGCTTGCAACCCAGTCAATTTCGCTTTAAACAGTGGTTCTCAACCTGTGAGTTGCGACCCCTTTGGGGGTCGAACGACCCTTTCACAGGGGTCGCCTAAGACTATCAGAAAACACATATATCATTACATATTGTTTTTGTGATTAATCACTATGCTTTAATTATGTTCAATTTGTAACAATGAAATTGGGGGCCACCACAACATGAGGAACTGTATTAAAGGGTCGCGGCATTAGGAAGGTTGAGAACCACTGCATTAGAAGGTGACTTGTAATATATTTTTATTGATTTCAGAGAGGAAGGGAGAGAGAGATAGAAACATCCATGATGAGCAAGAATCATTGGTCGTCTGCCTTCTGCCCGCCCCTTACTGGGTGTGGAGCCTGCAACGCAGGCATGTGCCCCTGTTCTGCAGGCCAACACTCTATCCACTGAGCCAAACCAGCCAGGGCTGGAGGGTGAATTCTTAACTACAACGCTCTTCAGAGGTCCTCAAACTTTTTAAACCGGGGGCCAGTTCACTGTCCCTCAGACATTCCACACATGCGCACTGCGGGCCCGGGACGAGTCGGCTGCTAAGCAGGACAGGCAGAGGCAGCAAAAACACCCGGCGGGTCGGATAAATGATTTCGGCGGGCCGCATGTGGCCTGCGGGCCGCAGTTTGAGGATCCCTGCTCTAAATAAAATCCTATCTGATGTGATGTCCCCCTGCAGCACTGAGGTGACCATTGGTGGCCAGCGGTGACCACTACACGTTCTGAAGAGTCAGACCAAGTAAGAGGAACACTCCACACTGAATTCCCAGCGCCCTCCTCTGCCCTCCCATAGAGCTGGGCTCCTACCCACCCTGGAGAACTTGGCGCAACAAACTGGTCATTCTTTATTCATGTTTCCCAGGTTTTCAGTCACTAGAAGCTCTCCACAGTATTGCTCCGTAGAAACACAATTGAAAGGCAAGAAGAAAAATACATTGCCTGGTCCCTCCCAGCACCTCCTGCCCGGTCCCTCCCTCCCAGGCCTCCTGCCTGGTTTGGGGTGGGAGCTGTTGCACAGGACGGTGCCCCTGCCCTCGCAGAGCAGCCAGCGTGGCAGGGAAGAGAAGGGGCTGACCCTGTGGTCATTTGGGGCAGGAGAGTTGCACGGCATCGCCAATGGGGCGGGAAAACCAGCCTGTCTGGGTGGGCTGGGGAAGGTCAAAGAGAATTTGGAGGAGATTAGGAGATGGGATATTGATACAAACAGATCTGTTAAAATGAGGCCATTGAGACAGAGCGATGGGGGGAGGGGTTTGGATGTCCACATGTGTTATAAGCACACTCACTCAGCCACACCTTCACCCCAGCATTCCCGCCAGACACTGACCAAATAAGTAAAGGGCTTGGCTGGACCACATGGCCGTCTCCGTGGTCCTCAGACTCTTACACCTGAGAGCAGGCCAGCCGTCCAAGGCCCAGGGAATGGAAAGTCATGAGTAAGCCTACAGAAAGGGCCTCGGGCGCTCCGTCCGCACTGTCCCCACTGGAGCCAGAGCCCCGAGGAGCCCGGACCTCCTCCGGTGTAAGCACGTTCCTGACCCCAGAATCCGGGATCTGGGACCAGATCCTACTTTTAATTCCACAGCATCCGCTTAGTGCCTGAGGAAGTCATCACCTAAGGAACTTTAATTCTGATCATGGCAGACCAGGTAGACACATGCTAACCAATGCTCTCACTAAGAATAACTAAGAAAAAATGGGTGAAATGTAAGAGCATGTTGTTAAAGGCATCAGAAAGCTAATAAAATGGTGAAAAAAATTTTTATAAGAAAGCGTTTTTGGGTTTTAGATGGTAAGACACGCTCTGGCATAGCTTTCTTTGTTTAAAAAAATATATATATTTTATTGATTTCAGAGAGGAAGGGAGAGGGAGAGAGAGCTAGAAACATCAATGATGAGAGAGAAACATTGATTGGCTGCCTCCTGCACGCCCCCACCCCCCCGGGACCAAGCCCGAAACTGGGCATGTGCCCTTGGCTGGAATTGAACCCAGGACCCTTCAGTCCGCAGGCCGATGCTCTATCCACTGAGCCACACCAGCCAGGGCAAAAAAAAAACAAAACAAAACAAAAACGGTGAAATATTAAGGGCCAGGATGGGAAAGAAGGAAATTCAGAGGGTTAGCGGTTTTCCGTTGCTCCCTGGAGGCATCTTCTGATTCCATAAAAGCAGCTGACAGGCTGAGCAGCTCAACAGAGTTTACAATCAACTCAAGGAACCAAGAGCGCACGGAGCTCAGGGGCCGCCCTCAGAAAGGAGGTGCAGGTGCCTCACCCCCAGGCTCGGGGTTGGTGCCAGGAATACCTACACACTGAGAATTAAGAGTGAACAAGAACCCCCGCCGGATAGCGGCACCCCCTCACCCCAAGGTTGTGGGTTCGATCCCCAGTCAACCAATGAATGCATCACTAAGTGGAGCAGCAGACTGGTTTCTCTCTCTCTTTCCCTGCCTCTCTCTCTCCCTAAAAATGAGTGAGTAAAAACATTTTTAAAGAGGGAACAAGAACCCGACCAGCTCTCACAGACTCAAACCCAGGCTGGAATCTGTGCACCCTGACGTGGATCACAGTGCTCCAGAATCTCCTATTTCCAACCCGGCTGGCTACTCGAGGCAGCTAGAAGTTATTCCTGGAGGAAAATGCCATAAACCAGAGCATTAAATTACTTCTAGATGTTTTCCTATATGATGCCCAAAATGAAACAAAACAAACAAAAGAAACGGGCCCAACAAGCGGAAACACATCCAACATCGAAAGAAAACAGCCACAGAGACAGGCCCAGGGGCCTCTGGGTAAGGGAGGAATCAGCTGTAACTTTAAAGTAATGATGTTTCTCAGGTTCAGGGAACGAAAGGGTAAGTTTGAGAACTTCAGCATGAACTACTGTGGCAGATGCAGACGGCCGTTCCCTTGGCATCACACAGAAACCCTCCTTTGCAGATGCTTCCGAAACTGGACCTTTTTAAGCCGATTTTAGAGAGGGAGGGCGAGGGAGACAGAACCGCCCCGGCCGAGAAGCCCGACGCTCCCGGCTGGGGATGCCCGGGGACGTGCCCTGGCT